CGGGTTTTGAGCCTGGTCTTAGGCACTACCAGCAGCAGCTGGTCAGCTGACCTTAAGGCTCTGCCTGGGGTGTAGCGAAGGAGGAGTTCGGCTACATAGGCCGGAGCCAGCCCATTTAGGGCTTTGAAAACAAATAAAAGGATTTTAAAATCTATTATGAACCGAACTGGAAGCCAGTGCAATGAGGCCAGAATTGGGGTGATGTGGTCACGCTTTTTATGGCCAGTTAGAAGACGAGCAGCTGCGTTCTGCACTAGCTGCAGGCGTCTAATTGAGGCCTAGTCCATACCCATATACAGAGCATCGCAGTAATCCAGTCTCGAGGTAACATTCCGTTAATAGCCCTTTCTAGGTCTTTAAAAGATAAAAACGACTTGGTCTTAGCCAATAGTCGTATTTATAAATAAAAAAAAAAAGAAGCAGGTCTTGACTACGGTGCAAACCTGCTAATCAAATTTTAAAAGCGCTATTGAAGGTCACTCCAAGGTTCATGACAGAGGGGAGGATGTTTTTATTGAGGGAGCCCAGAATATCAACCGGAGAGGCTGAAGGTCGGGGTCCAAAAAAGATGACCTCGGTCTTGCTCTCGTTGAGGGTGAGGAAGTTTTGGCTCAGCCAGGATTTAATCTCTGTTAAGCAGTCCATCAACTGCTGTAGTGAGTTGTCATTTTGATTGAGAGGCAGATAAATCTGTACATCGTCAGCATAACAATGGAAGGGGATGTTGTGTTTTGTGAGAATTGAGCCTAGGGGCAGTATGTACAATAGAAAAAGGACGGGGCCCAGAATTGAGCCTTGGGGAACCCCACAGGTAAGAGGGGCTTTGGCAGAGGAGAAGGCACCCAACTGCACTGAGAGGCTAAGGTCTGTCAGGTAGGACCTGAACCATGCAAGGGCAGAGCCTGTGATGCCTGCGGACTGTTCAAGCCGTGACAACAGGATGCTATGGTCCACAGTGTCAAAGGCAGCTGTCAGGTCCAACAGCACCAAGACAGCTAAGCTACCTGAGTCGGCGGCTAGGAGCAGATCATTAAAAACTCTTAAAAGGGCTGTTTCAGTACTATGCATGGGTTTGAAGCCAGACTGAAACTTTTCGTGGATGCCATGTGTGGTTAAAAACGACTGCAGCTGGACGTAGACTACTTGCTCCAGGGCTTTAGATAAAAAAGGTAGCTGTGGGATGGGCCTAAAATTTGCGAGAATGGAAGGGTCGAGATTTTTCTTTTTAAGTAGTGGCTTAACCACTGCAAGTTTGAAGGCAGCTGGGACACATCCTTAGCTAAGAGAGGTGTTTACAAGCAATAAAACACTTGCTCCAACTGATTCAAAAACATCTCTAAGGAAGCGAGAGGGAATGCTGTCTGAGGTGCAGCTTGTCGGCCGCAGGTGCTTGACTACATCCGAGAGAGAAGAGAGGGTTACAGGCTCAAAGTGGTCGAGGACAGCAGGGCACAGAAAAGGAGCAGAATCTGGGGTAGCACTACTGTGGGCTAGCCTAAGCGCAGATACTTTTTCGATAAGAAATGTATCGCAGAGGGTAGTCGATGGCACAATTGGAGAAACATCACAAGGTTTAATGATGACACGGCCATCGTTGTTTTTACGTAATTGAGTTTAGAAATGTCACATTATTCCCTGCATAGCTCATTTCACATTTTGTCTTTTCAAAGCAGGACAAGCACAGGTGTTTCTGATGACACTAACATGGCTCTTCAACTATCGAGCCATGAGAGGGAGCCAGCATACCTGCTCCCTCAAACTGATACTGCTATATGGACTTCAGCCATTATTAATTGTTATTCACACCTGTGCTTTTCCTGCTTTGACATTTCAAAATGTTGTTTCTGAAAAACAGAAATTAGCCAGAGAAACTGAAAACACCTTTGTGAGTGTGAAGGGCAGTGCAACTCCTGGAATTAAAAAGCAAGCTGTCACTGTCGTTGTTGCTTTAGAAATGTGTTGTGGAAGAAACTGTAGCTTTATAATTTAGCTTGGAAGTTGATTAAATTAGACCATGGAAACTTTAGTTCAACAAACACACACAAAAACGTAATCAAGGTCCACTTAATTAGAACTCAAGTTTTAAAATCTGACAGTAAATACGGCTCACGTTAGTAGACAAAAAGGTCAACATTATTTAGACATGAATTATTTTGCTACCAGGGATCCCCCTTTTTAGAATACTCATTGTTCCTTTTGGTCTTAGTTTTTGGATTTCATAAATGTTTTCACACTGAATGACCTATTGACAAGAAATCTATGAGGTCATATTTTGTTATACTCAAGGTTTGGAGATTCTTTGCCTGGAAACTCAGTTAAACAGATAAATTGATTAGTCCCCAAAATGGTATGACTGTCAGTCGACTAAGAATTTATTTATCGAGGACAGACGCAATTGTAATATGTAATGTGGGTTTGTTGAATTATAGTATTGGCTCTTATTCTTAACAGTTGACACCAATATCTATATTCAATATTCTTGAAATATATAGCTAAAATCTTACATCTTTTGCAGTTTTAGCCATTTTTTCTTTCCAGTTATGAAGGCATATACTTAACCTGAAAAATCGGCTGAAATTGTGAGAGACACTTCAAATAACTCTGCTTAGGTAAAACTGATTGGTGTAGTATAGTTCTGTATTCTGCCTTTGAAAACAAATCAAAGCAAGCAAACTTGTTGAAAAAGGAACCAATTCCTCTAGTTGATGAGAATATTATGCCCTGAGTATCTGGACAGTTGGTACACAGCAGAAACATGGTAATTGAAAGGTCTTCATTTTGTATTCTTGGAAAAACCATGCAAGTATTCTGCGGGCCTTAGAAGCTCATCACTGATTACTGCTACACTGATGATGATTCATTCTCCTTCTAAGACAGCTACAGGACATGCTGCATGATAATGAGCACATCTTGCTACATCTTGCTCAGCGCCTGCAGAGGAGAGAGTCTTTTCTGTTATAGGTGAGCTAATAGAAAATGGAGCCTTGGAGGCAGAACTGTTCTTGACAGCTCAGAAGCAGAGGTCTCTGTAATTGGGATGTCTAGGTTCACGAAGAGGTATGTCAAGTGGATCTGTAATTCATGTAACCTTGAGGTCAACATTAGTTTTTCTTACTGTACTTCAGTCTTGGTCCCAGTTGTTACATTTTAATTGAGCTGTACCCTCATGAGTTTAACTGAATGTGTGAGAATGCAACTGGTGTGTAAAGTCTTTTTGGCATCCCCACGGCAGACTGAATTTGTTCAAGTGTACTGCTTTTAGGAACGACATTAAACCTGTACATTTCAATCAGGGCTGCACAATATATTGATTTGAATTCGATACTGTGATTACAGAGGTATCAGCTTGGATTCTAGATCTCATCAAAATGGCTTAAGTGTTTTCTTTCCTGGTTTTAAAGGTAGGATTGCAGTAAATTTATGTCATCCTCCAGACTGATTTAGCAGTTTTATTAAGTGATTTTCCTTGATATTTGATCGCCCAGCCATTACTAGATAAAATATTTAGTTTAATGTGGATTTATTACAAAGTGTGTCATGCTTTTAATATCTCCTTGTAAATGTGCAGAGTTAAACTGTGGATATGATATGCTATCATTTGTTCCCTTGCTGTTTCCATGAAAACATGCTCATCCCAGCGCTGAGAGGAGACTGCAGTCTTGACCCGATACCGATGATGTAATGAAAGTTATTATCTCATCACTGTCCTCCAAACAACCAGATGCTGTATTCCCTGCGGACTGAATTGGATTATAGAACATTGTTTATCCCCATTATTTATTACATATCGCTCTCCCACGTCAATTGTTAAGCCTGCGCACAAACACGCACAGCAACGAGAGTGTTGTGTTGTGGTGACGTGACGGTGAGATTTTGCCATGAGGTCAACGTAAGGTTGTAGAGGAGACAGGAAAGGTCATTAAAAAAATATTCAAGACAAAAGGTGACATAATAGAATAAATGCTCACTGTTCCCTCCCACACTATAATAATTGTGAAATCCAACTAATGCAAGAAATTGAATAAATTATAATCTGTTGTTAGTTTAAACACTTTTGGAGTACCTACATGTTGTGAAATTGACACGTGCAGGCAACAGGTTTAATTTCTTTTTTTTTCTTTTTTTTTACTTTGTTTATTGGGTTTTTTCAACAGCATATAGTTATTCTATCAGAGCATGTATCAAAAGTAGGTAAACAAATCTTCACTTTATAGAAAAATAGGTAGAGTAAAAATGTAAATAGGTTTAAATAAAGGTTTAATTTCTAAGGCAAAAGTACAACTAAAACATGTCTCAAATAAAAATATGATGTTATTTTCTGTATTACAGTTAAAATTAGGGCTAACGCAAATCATGTATCCTTATTGCATTTTGCATTTTGGCCTTTCACTCCACTTTAGAGGTCTAGGTTTATACCATTCTTTTTACCACCTTTCTTCTTTTCCGTCTTTTTCTTGTGTTGGAGGCTCAACTTTTTTTCTTCTGCTCAAGTCAACCAGCGTTGTGGCAAACACTTTATAGAATGGGAACAATGAGAGGCCGATGTGACGCAGCCGATTCCCCCCCTCACACTCTGTCTCTCTTTCTCTGATCCCCCCCGTGCCCCCACCTTAACTCAATGAAAGGAACCATTGTCTTTGGCCTGGATTGAACAACTCACACAGTACTTTTCCTCTGAGGTCTTAAAAACTTTGCCTGCTTACATGGAGAGCGAATTGCTTTGCTCGCGCTTGTACAGTACTCACGTGCACTCAGGCGTCCATGCACACTCACGCTCCTGCACACAAATATGCACAAACCAAAACACAACAATTTACACAACCAATCAAATAAACCCTTACTGACACATGAACATGCATAATGTGTGTGTGTCTGACAGCTCCGGGGTGCTCTGAAATCTCAGATTCCAGGCCCTCTTAGTGCAGTGGACTCCCAGCTGAGCCCCACCTCTCCCCACCTCGGCTGCCCTCCTTCTCTTTTTACAGAGTGCCCAACGCACTGAGACCTGCTCCGATCACTGAACATCACTCTTTCAGAACAGTCTCTTGTTGTTGCCGGTGACCAATCAGCACAGAGGAACTGTCTTTGCCCTCTGCTTTGTCTCTGGATGGGACATACAACCATGGAGCCAACCTAAGTGGCCCAGTTTTGAGAGGTTCGAGGTCACTTTCTGACAGAGGGTGCTGAACCAGCCGGACCCTGTAGCAATGGCTCAATTTCAAGAAAGAAAGGTGGCCACTCTGCCGTCCCGTTCCTGCCAGAGTGTCCCCGGGACTGGCCGACTGCAGAGACGCATGTGTTTGGATGACTTCACCTTTGACAGCTTTGAGCTGCTTTACAGTGGAGCTGTCGAAAAGATCAAAAGCCACAAAAGTAACCTCAACCTCAGTAAGTTCCCCGCTTCCAGCTTCAAAATCAGGAATGTATGATCAGGTTCAACCTATCTACATTTTACTGTAAACATAAATAAGATGGTAAAGCATATTTAGATTAGCCGACCCTGTTTTGCAACCACCTTGCTGTATGCTACAGTGTATACAGAGGCGGTACAGTAGACTTGTTTTTGTTTGATTAACCCAAGGGAAACCAAAGTATTTGATCATCTTCATTGAATAATCATTCAACATAAACGTATGTCAACTCATAAATCTGTCACTTTTAGTCTCCATTTTCCAGTTAACATCTATCCTACTGGGAATAATATTTGTCAACACAAATATGATCAACCTCAGCCATGGGTTTACCCATCTCTCTGTCCAACTAAAAATAGCAACTTGACGGCAGTGGTGAATCATGACCATAGAAACTGCAGGTCTCTCAGCTCAATGTTATGACCAGTGAAAAGTGCTTTGAGGAATTTAAGGACTTTATTTGAAGAGACATTTTTTTTTATAAAAACATGTAATATTGGTAATTTAATTTGATCCCAATTTACTTCCTTTATTTTGCGTTGATTTTAAATTGTCATGCCATGTTATGAAGGAAGTTCCTAATATCAGATTGTCATGCCATGTTATGAAGGAAGTTCCTAATGTGACACTCAGCCATGGCGGTTACTGCATGCTTCTACCACATCAGGCACACCAAAGCCAATATTTCCTAATCCTTTGATCTGATTTTAGTATTTAAAGTAGCAAACATTTAAATAATCTAAGTACCATTTTCGCACAAAAGGTTTACCAGTTGACTGTATCAACTTCTACTTGTAGTAAAATTGTCATGTGCAGGCTCAATACGTTTTATTATTCAATTTTGTCTATATTTATTCAGACAAATGTAACTTTAACCCATTGCAATTTAATATTATATCTAAAACCTCACCTTTCAGAATACAATACCCCGATAATCAGCTCCTGCTTCTGTTGCTTTCCGACCTTTCCTTGCAGATAATAATCTCTCTTATCAAATGTATGTGTTTTATCATTTTCTTCTCAAAGATCACAGTTTGATGGAAAGCCTGCATGATGGAGAAGGTCAGCGCTATTAAAAGCAACCTCTCCTGGCATGGCATTTAGCTAATCCTGTGTTACTGACAAATGGCCTAGTTACTAGCCTTAATAATGGCTAAAGACACCCTGTCATATGGTAACCCAGGATAAAGATTTATATATAGATGATAGCAATCCAATTTTAGAAGCAGAACGGTGTTGACAGCTTTATTAAAAGCTATCTGATGTAGATGGCCTCTGTGGTACAGGAACGATTGTACTCTATCCGTCTGTGTCTGACACACATAGCATATTGTGTCATGCTGTGCTGGATCACACTTGCGGCCCCACATCTCACACAGTAGAATGGACTCTCGGTATGAGGCATCTCTTTTCCTGGTGTTGGGAAGGAATCGGTCAGTGTGGAAGGAAGGAAACCTAGGGAGAGGAAACAGGTGGAGTTAAGGAGCTGAAGAGATTTGTATTCATAGAAACAACTGCACAATGTAAAGGGAAGGAGTTACATACAGTACGGGGGCAGGAAATGGAGGGAAAGGAAGGGAGTGACAGTGTGTTAAAGTGGAAGAGGGTAAAAGGTGAACAGGATCAGGCACTTTAAGGTATGGACACATGACAGAGAAATACTACACATTCTCAAAGTGTTACGGATATTGTGGTTGTACTTAATTTAACAGGTGGTATATCATCTGAACTGACTATTCTACTTTCACTTTTCTGAGAAATCACACACCCTCCATATCAAATCTGGTTTCCTGTAAACCATGTGATTACATTACATATTTAATTTCATTTCCTTTAACTGCGGCTGAACAGCAAGATGCATTCAAGTACATTTGCTTGAAATAATCCAAACTATTGTTAGTGCCGTTGCATTTGTTGTGCTAAAACCATCAAAGTAGTGACATACTGTGTTCTTATTACTTTTGTCCCAATACTTTGTTTAAGGGAAAGCTCAACATATGAATTCGTTTTTAAGTATCTTTGTCTGTTAAGTCATATTGAAAAGTGCCTTTGCTGTCAAGCGTTATGATCAGAACAGAGTAAAAACCACCGTTCTAGTTTTGCCTACACTACCCAAGGTGCATTGCTGCTGCTGCTGCTGCTCATTCGTGTAATAGGTTTACAGTTTGCTTTGGCTCAGGGCAGCCTAACCAGCGCTAAGCCTCTTAGCAACCTTTGGCCTACCTCTCGCTAACTCTTACGCTGCACCCACTCTATGCAGTCTTGTTTATATAAATACCATAAACACATTCATACGTTAGCAGATAGGGAGGCAGACACACCGAGCCTGTGGGGTGGGGGAGGGAGAGAAGAATCATATTACATTGATGAAGTAACACAGTCATACTTTATTTTTTATGGTTTCCCTCTTCAATGCAGAAAAGTTTCAAAAAATGTGCATCACTGCTCTTACCAAAGCACAAATGCATAATCAGATTATACAAGTGGATTACTGTATAGTCCACTATGTGTTCTCTCATTAAGAGCGCAGCATGTCAGTGCTTTGGCTGCAGGAGGTGATGGCTATGAATGTTTTATTAGCATTAATGGGAGGAGATAATGAGGAGTGAGATATGAGATTAGGTGATGAGAAACTGGCAACTACGTTCTTGTAATATGAAGCCCCTTCTCTCTCTGTCGTGAAATGATCCCTTGTTGAAGTGAAAAACACTTTTGTTTGCTGGTTGTGCAAAACCCTGCTTTTATTATTCCCCCTTCAAAGTATGGTTGTTATGTTTAAGGTAGGAGGGATATTGATCTGTTTAGTGGTACTGCTCTGTTTTCAGGAGTTTTTTTCATGGGGCAAAATATACCATAAATCATCAAGTGGTGCCTCAGCAGATGCATGCTGGCAATCAAAATGCTTTTTTACACACATGTCATTCTGTTGTGTTTCGAAAATGGTTTAATTTTTTGCTTTCACTTTTTCTGCGCCTCACTCTGTGGCTACACAAACGTATGCGGGCATTCATTCATTTTGTGCTTCTGCACGTCGTGTACACACTTTTATGGCATCGTCTCCTCCAATATTCATGTGTCCCTTTAGTCGAGGACAATACACTGAGAGGAGACACCACTGATGTTACACCCCCGGCTTAGAGAGCCCTGAAACCTGAAACCACTTAACGCTCGGAGCTGACAGACATGGAGGAAGAGTGGGGTGGACATGAAGGTGAAGGAGATCAATTAAGGGAGAGATGAAAACACAAAGTAGATTGATTCATTAATACCACTTTAAAACAGCAGTTTTCCCCATATTTGTATTATATTTTATAATAAATTAGAGTGTCTGTTGGTAGTTTATCAGAACTGCTCTAGATAAAGTTTGAATGACCTCCTTTCATGACCCTGAATGTGTGTGTGGAGTTTTCGCGGTTGCACGGTTTTCATCTAAGAAACAAAGTTTGATGCTGATCTCCAGTGGTTTGTGTTTTCCAGAGGAGGAGCTGAGGAAGCTGCGGGAAGAGACCAATGTGGACTCTCTGCGGCAGGAGCTGGACAGAGAGCGGAGCAAGAGGATAGACCTGGAGCAGAAGATGAACGAGGTGCTGAAGACCAGGTGAGACAAACCCACACAGCCGCACAGTCACATGGGCCACAGAGGCTGAGCACAGGGAAGTAACGGCAGCGCCGCGTGCTTCAACGGAGACGCTTCCCATTTGGACGTACAGTAATCGTGAGGGAGTCATGAGAAATGGTGACTCAGCACTTTGCCATACTTTCCACACAGTTTACCACAGGTCAAGTGGGATGGCACGTGTGTGTCAGACCCATCAGCTCGGTCTGTGGGGAATTCTTCAAGGAGGTGTGTGTGTGTGTGTGTGTGTGTGTGTGTGTGTGTGTGTGTGTGTGTGTGTGTGTGTGTGTGTGTGTGTGTGTGTGTGTGGACAAGAAGAAAAAACAAAAAGGAGTCATGAGTCGGTGTGTGTCTCCATGTTCACACTGAGACGCTGTTGCTATGCCTGTGTCAGGAAAAGCCTGAGCTTCTTGGCACCCAGCAAGCCAACCTTAAACCCTGTGTGTGTGTGTGTCTCTGCGTGTGGGATCAGATGATGCTTCTGTGCCTGCCAATGGGAAATTCCACTGGTGCTCTCAGTCTCCAAGTGTGTATCAGCACAGAAACATCATGAGTGCCTGAGTGTTAAGAATCCTGTTAGAGGTAAACTAACGCACCATGACATGGGAGTGTCTCCAGTTTACTGTTTGTCAGCAGGATCCAGTTTCTCTGGCTCCTATCCATGTGTTATTGAGCAAGGCACCTGAGACGAATGACCAACATAACAAACACTAGACTACAGGGATATCCTGCCTATGGTGTTGTCTGTAAACAATCTTCACTGCATCTTCTCAGGCACACATATGGGATAGATTAGCAACTTTCTCTGAGATGTCTTTTAATTCAAATGAGGAAAAAAATGGATATGGAAGTCATTTAGTTTTCTATTTTTTTGTAGATACAGTGGTCAGTAGTACACTCTCTGCATTTATGTATAGTTTATTTCAGAATTTATTTTGGTCATTGTGAAAGTACTCAATATATGAAGATAATCTAAATATATATATTTTTTTAGGAATAAATTCCCTTGATAATAATTTTCACAGTGATGTTGTATTTACAGTATAAAGAAACTCCATAGGAAATGTAAAACATTTAAAAAATGTAATATTTTAATCAATATTTCTCAAAAAATTCCTTATCTTACTAGAGAGAAGAACAACAACGTTTTTATTTTTCGAGAAGGCATTTATTGCCTATTAAACCATTTATTGCCCATTAAACCATTAAAAGATAAAACATCAACAAGCTTGCTAAAGTCAATAAGCTCTCGGAATGTTTTTAATCTTTTTGATTGACTTTTAATTTCTTCTGCAACAACAATATATATGTAGCAGTAAAACTGAAAGAGACACTCTTTAAAATGTTAATATTTTCTTACTCTCAGTTTAGTTGCTTTTTTCACTTTTAGCCCAAAAAGAGAGACTGGAAATGTTTCTCCTCATTCTGCCTCTATCCCCATATGTGTCAATCTCTTCCAGAGTCGTTGATTTATCCGATGCAGCAACTCCCCACTCAAACTGCTTGAGACATCCTCCAGTGGGACTGCAGCTCTGGTAATAGAGAAGTGAAACTAACACTCGACTAATCTTTCCTCCTCTCTTCCTCTCTCAGGCTGGAAGACTCTCCACCACAGCCTCCCCGGAAACAGCAGTCGCCCTCCAACAATGGAACAGGTACGACCCTGGGGGAGGTGGAGAGGGAGTGTGTGTGACAGAGAGAGGGAGTGGGAGTCCAGGGGGACTGACGGGAAATGAGTTAGGAAGGAAGACTTTGACGTCTTAAAAGTGTGGGAGTAAATCATGAGGTGTGTGTGTGTGTGTGTGTGTGTGTGTGTGTGTGCAGGGGAGGTAGGGATGTGGGATGTGTGCGGTGTACTGCTCGACAGGAAGTGAGTGGTGTCGGAAGTTTCTGCAGGTTATTGTAGAACATATTGTAGTGTGGGTGCAGGAACATAAATACACACTAACATGTTGATTTATGTTGTGCATTTAGTTGTATTTAGAACAATAAGCATTAAAAGGGGCCCTATGATGCGTATTTTGTGCATATACTGTGACAGGTTTACATGCTTTAATGTTCCAAAAGGTCTTTATTTTTCTCATACTTCCTGAGCTGCAGCCCCTCTTTTCACCCTCTGTCTGAAACCACAGCCCAGTCTTATCTGATTGTTCAGCTGGCTGGCTTTGTTGTGATTGGTCAACCGCTTAAGAGATGTCCCGCCTCTCAGTCTTTCACGTACAATGTGTTGGAGCGCTAGCCAACAGAAGCTTGAGTGTTACAGAGTGATGTCAATATGTTATGGAAGAAAGCAAAGCACTCCAATGGAGGTGTTTCAGGCAGTGTGCGGGAGAGAAACTCCCTCTGGAGAGAACTCTGGGATTTTAGCCTTTGCAGACCATTTACATGCACTCAAATCTATATATTTGTCGATAGGGACTTGGCTTGGCAACTGGAAGGTCACGAGTTCAANTCATCGAGTGCTGCCGAAGGACTGTTCCAATGTCCAGCATACTTGGAATTCTACCGAGCCCGGCGTACTTCGTTTGGAGACATTTCGAGGCTGCACATGACATGTGCAGCCTCGAAATGTCTCCAAACGAAGTACGCCGGGCTCGGTAGAATTCCAAGTATGCTGGACATTGGAACAGTCCTTCGGCAGCACTCGATGACGTAGTATGCTTGAAATAGTGGCTCTGGAGCAGCCTTCCTCGACATTGAGAAACACCCCAAGAAGCTTTTTAAGGCTGATCTCCAGTGAGAGAGAATCAAATTGGGAAGTCAGAGGAGTCGCTGTTTTACTTTGAATGATATCCTCAATGTTACTTAACATAGAAAGACTTGAATCTTCTGGACAATGTTGAGAATTGTGGAGGAAACTTCTGTGTAGCAATGCAGGAGGAGTCACCGACTCAAAGGAGACACGGGGAGAGCTGGAGCTTTGATGTCAAACACTGATGGGTTTATTTTGAGCTTCGGCCGGAGGGTTCACAAAACAAGTCCAAGAGCCAGAGGTTCTGACTTCACGGTAGAGTTGCCACGTCAATTCTGAAGAACTCTACCCCAGACCCATGTATTAAGCTAGTTCAGAGAGAATAATCAACATGGTGCATAACAAGATAGAATCATAACACCTCTATCAGCTGACGCCAACAGGCAGGAACAGGGAGACAAAACACTGAGAGCACAGCAGCCAAGGTTACAGGTGCATGTGCTCAGTCAGGACAGTTTGAACTGATAAACTGGGTCAAAGTTATGGGCCTTGGAAAATATTTCCCCAACAGTAATATACTTTTTTAACTACTAAGAGATGTTTTTACTGGTTGCTACATAGACAACTTTATTTGTTTACTTACTGAGATAATGCTGCTACTTATTTTTCTACCTTGGTTGTGTACTTATTTGTTTTTTAATGTGCTTGTCTCTTTATTTTATGTTAATCTACATATTTCAGTTTGCCGTTTATCTGCAGTGTCCCCTGTAAATATCCCTATCGTCAGATTAATATAGGATTTTTCTGAATCCGCCCCTTTAATTCCATTTCACTTCATGTGCCGATTTATATTTTAACATCATTTGAGAGAAGTTTTGTCATAACAGAGAGCAGTTAATTGAGCTTTCCCACATTTGTAATATAAGACCGGATGAAATTCCTGTATGAAATGCAGTATAATTTAAATAGAAAATAGCAGTGGAATTAAATAATGCTAACGGATACATTTGGGTATTATTATAGCTTTACATTTGACTAGACTAGAGCAACACATTTCATTAAGTAAAAAGCATAACAATGGTGTGTTATGTTGGTCTGCTACAGCCCAGATGCAGACAGAAGCTGAACGCTATGCACAACCTCCTGAGAGACTGTGAAACCACAAAGCAGACACAAGATGCTCGTAGCTTAAAAGCTGATGCACACAATAACAACTGTAAGAGAAACATTACACTCATTCGCCATTATCCAAATCAACCTACCATAAAAGTGCTTTGAACTTCCCTAGAGACAAGAGCTAGATCTCATTAGAAGCTGTAAGTTGATCCCTCTCAAAAGAAACACAACCAAGAGCATGTTTATTGTTTCAATAAATAGCTGAGACATCAGTAAGCCAGCGTAGGGTGATGAGGAGAGATTTTCATTTCAGCAACAGCCGACTTTAACAAGAGCCTCTCATCAAACAGAGGCTTCCTGCTGCAGTCACCATTTGGTCGGAAAGGCGCTATAGATAAGAGATCATAGAAACAGGCTGTATCTCCACATCACAAAGTCACTATCTCTAGACTTTTGCTGCAGACAGACAACCCTCACAAACTGTATAACCACAGTCTTAACGACACAAGTACAGGACTTTTCTCTGATAACTGGCAAGGGGGATTCTGGGTAATGAGAGGAATCTCTAACTGAAAATAGATGACAAAGCATTCTGCGGGAAATTAAAACCAGTAAACACTACCAATAGAAACAGAGCAACACATTTAATTGTTATTGGCATAACACGTACCCAACGCAATACTCTTAGACTGTTCATTTGCTTTGAGTGCGTGCACGTGTGCGTATACTTACGTAGGAAATGTTTCTCGAGTAAGGCAATTTCCAGGTGACCTTTGACTTCGTTGAGTCGGTCTGACTCCGACCTCTGGAAGTCCTGGATGGCCGCAGCCATGGTGGGAGACCCCGAACCAGCCTACACACACACACACACACACACAACACAACACACACACACAACACACACACACACAAACATTTGCATCCACAAACAAGAAAAACAACAAAAAGATTTGGTTTTAGAATGACTTCATAACAACAGAACACAAGCAGGGGAATCCCATATGATCTAACACACACACACTCACACACATATGGAATAGGATGGCACCATGACTCACACTGACGCGTCCTATCCCGGTCTGAGTCCAGCTGTAGCGAGCTAGGAGGCGAAAAATAGAGGAGAATCCCTTCCTCCAACTACGGCAACACTGATGACTCACACACCCTTGTGACTCAGGGCTTTAAACCCCTAACACACACAGCTAGCAACACAACATCTGTGTAGGTGTATCGAGTGAATGAGGGAGAGGTGACGACTTTGTCAGAGAGGAGAGGAATGTGGGACAGAGTGTGAGGAGGGAGAGGAAAGGAAAAGAGCGAGAGGAGGGGAGAGACGGCTAGCTGCTAGCGGATGATGAGCACTGCAGGTTGAGAATTTCCTGCTCGACTACAGCAAGGGTCCTTTAAAAGACTAACACACACACACACACACAGGCTGCAGCAGCTTCTCCCCGACAGCATGGGTTTGTGTGTGTCCCTGCGTAGACACACCACCGCAATGCCTTTGGCGGATGTGCTCTCCGCAAAGAGGCAGCACGGGAGTGCCAGGGAGGGAGAAAGAGCGATAGCACAAAACTGACATTGACCGGAAAACTGTGCTTTGGGGGCGAGCCAAAACGCTTAACAAAATAAGCGGGTGGGGAGACATGGAGACAAGGATGGAGAGAGTGTCCCTGAATAAATATGCACTTCAGAGAAGACAAATAAATGCCTCTTTTGGGAGTGTGTCACGGAGAGGAAAAAGGATGCTGAGTGAAGGATAGAGACGGAAAGATTAAAGAGGGTGTGTGAATGAAATGTCGGGAGCAGGCGGCGGGAGTGTAAAGAACTTTTGCTGCATTACGATGATCAGCCACAGCTCTGTGGTTGGTTGCCAGAATGCAACTCAATAAGGACAGGACGTTCAAGTTCATGTTATTTAACGAGGTAATCAAATCTCAGTCGGCGCCTCCTGTAATGAAAAGTAGGTCAAGCACTGACGTCACCGAGGACGATAATCGGCTGATGAATTATCGTATTCCCCCCTCTGCCTCCTCCAACCTCACTGTGTCCTCCAGTATCTTTACCATGACTTTGTATTCTACGATTGAAAGCGTTAAAGCATCACAACTTGTAATTTATGCGATTTAACTTTGCTTCAGTCCACTCCCACGCTTTTGATTATGTAGCTGTTAGTTCTGCTCAAGGTGGACGTAAGGTCACTGAGCAAAACCGATTATAAATGTAAGACTTATCCCTTCGGTCTGGTGTAGAATACTAATTTTCCACATTGCATTAGGAAATCTAAATTGCAAATAAGTCTCAATCAACACCTCCGGTTATCTTTCTGTCATTTCTACTAGAACAAAGTCAGTGTATCGCCCACGACAAAAGAAACAAGTAAAGGAAAATATATGCGAGTAAAGTACATACTGTATGTAAGGGATAACCTACGGCAAGGCAGTCATGTGTCGGGGGTTCTGGTCACCCTGTCGTGGTAGTATAAAGTATTCGCAAAAAATGACTGGCTAGCTCCACATTATCCCACTTACTACATGTCTACTTAGTAAATGAATCAACGTTTCACACAAATTAATCGTTATTAACATAATTGTATTGATTTCAAAATGATAGCATTACTTCTTCAAATACATTTTTTTTGCCTGTTTAGCAACGGCTGTGACTGCAGCGACAGAAACATCACTTTTAAAATGATGGCAGGACTGATTGAACTGTCCGAGTCCGGTCACCATTTGTTCCTCTTGTTTATAGACTTCCACTGACTGACTGATATCCCTATCCTCAGTCATCTTTTTTATCCTCAATCCATTCTTCTTCTTCTTCTACTTCGTCTCTGTCCTCGGCCTCTAGAAGCACAATGTTTGTGGGGTTGCCTCAGTGCAGACCTGACACAGAAATGT